GACGTAGATACTATGGTCATCGATTGGCCAAAAATATTCTTAATTTCCAGAGGATGATTTTGGACGTCCATAATATTAAAATTTCAGAAGTATGGTCGAGTTCCACAGGGGAAGGATTTCCGTCGTTCCCTGTAGTATTGCCATCCTTGTCCACACAATTAAACATGGCGGCGATCACACTACTACCGCAGACCAACGCAATTTCCGTGCGATTCGCCGAAGTGTTGGCGAGCGTATCGTCGTGGGGGGCGAGTTCGTCCAGGAATCGAGCGGCCATGAAGGGCACGATGCCGTAGTCGGGGTTCCTAAAGGTCGCGGCTTCTTGGTTGGGAGCTCTACCAAAAAGTTGTTAGTCGACACGATGAACATGCCGCCGTAGTTGAAGAGACAGACAAACGACAAGTTTTGCCACGCCGCTCGCGAGGTGAGACAGTCCAGAAATCGGCTAATAACTCGGGGTTTCAGCACCACGGTCAAGATTACGTGGCTGAATTGCTGGACGGACCTGCAACCCTCAGCGAATTCTCGAAGGGGGTGTTTTTGTTTGGCCCTGAATATAAGCGTGCGCTGCGGCGAAGAATTGCTTCTTGGAAGGTTTACATTGTTGACTCATAAAAACTTCGGGCTTGCAAAGTTGTTTCAGCACAAAACAGAGCTATCAGGACAGCGATGCCATCCCGCCATCGAACCCGTGGCCGCTTACGACGCCCATCACGACTTGCACGACCTAAACACAAACTACTCTTAACTTTGTCAACCGGCACGGGATTTTTTTTACCTCGGACAACGCTTGCCGGTAGACGGGAAAACTCCCTGCAAAAACATGACCGTGCACATGCACCCGCCATCGATTTTCGACGTGGACACTCCACGTTCGCTCGGGTTTTTCTTCCTGGGCAGCACGGCGGCAGTCTATCGATGCCGCCGCAGCAGCAGGACTCTTGAATATCACACTGAGCTTGCTGTGTAGATCTGGGTTGGGCTGCTGGTGAGTCGGCGTCGAAGCCGCCACAGCTCCAGTGTACTGGGTGCAACCATGGACTCGGTCGGGATTGTTCAACACTGCATCCACGGCCTGTGAATCCACAATCACAGCTTGCAAGAATTGTTGAACCAATGCACGGCAACAACACCTGAATCAAACGCCGCACTTGGAGTGTTGGGGTCGATGCCGGCAAATCAACATGCAGCCGGAGCGGCCACCACGGCATTGCCATTGTTTCTTCGAACAACACCATGGGCGACTCCATCGAACGACCTGCAGGAACATAGATTTTCGAGAACGCGTCGCACGTCGTCAAGACGTATCTACAGCATAAACCATCGTCGACCCTGTTTTTCGCGCCACTCTCCAAGAGGTGCAAGATAATACCCGAGTGGTGTATCTTGGAGTGCGCCGACGGGAGTCTGGTCAAAATGAACGTGGCGCTTGTGATGGGTTTCGGCGTACGTGGCTTGGTCATCCGTGATCGTAGAGTGATTAAACACAAGGAGCTGCGATCCCGAAATGTTGCGAACCTAACACGAAGCATCAGGTGCGCACGCACGTCACAGCATCCCCCATCGTATAGACGTTGATCCTATCTACCCATACGACACACTTTCTCGTTCCATACATTTTTTTCAAGCGAACGGGTGCAGCAGACTGACACCCATGGGAATGCAAACGGCATGGAAGTGCGAACGGTCCACTTACCACAGGAACCAAAGCCAAACCAAAGAGGACGCACACGCCGGTGTAAAATCCCCTCAAGATGTCGTCGGCTATCCCAGGGAATACGAGGATATACAGGAAGTAGAACGTCATGCAGAGAACCAAGATCTTGACGACCTACAGAGCGCAGCACAACGTCCGTTGAGACCACGTCGAAGAGTAGTCACTGTACCGTCGTTATTTCGAAGAGAAGAGTCTTCGCAGATCCCCGTCGCACGGCAACTTCGCGAATGACGTCGCCAGCTTTGTTGAGCCACAGCAACAGCGGAACGCCAAAAATCCACAGAGGCCACTGACACAGAAGCTTCGTGAAACGAACAGCGTGTAGCGCGGCGCAAAATAGTCCAACACGGAGCAGCCAGTACGTTTCCCATAATATCATGGCTTGTGCTTCGCCAGGCCACTTCCATCGCTCCGGCGTAAGCGAGCGCAGCAGGAAAAAGATCAATCGCGCCATCGGCATGGCAATCACAAGGGAGAAGAAGAGCAGGAGCACGCTCAAGTACAACTGATACCCGCCATTCATTTCTTCAACCCACCAGCTATGGAACTCGGACGTCTTGAATGCGCACAGTTCCACCATCGTCCGTCGGTGCTGCCGTGGCGCACCCGGCGGTTAAGACTTAGCACCAGGAATCCTTTGTTCAGATTGGTCCGATTTCTACGCACGAAGAGACTGGATTGGATAAAAATCATGGCGCTTTTGCAGATAATGTGTGCGATTGGTGAATATATTTGATTTTACCATTCAGTGAACATAATCCTTATCCTTTACATTTCACATTTCCACATTTCTTACTGCAGTGAAACATTTCGAGTGAAATGAGCCCTCGGCGTCTTGATTGTATACGACCAGTGCTAAGCCTTGATATGGCTACTGCGGGGAAGCTGGCCTCAGATTTCGCTCACCAAGCTTACCAATTTATCTACAATCACTACCAGAGTAACATTGATAATTCAATTTGTCGCTCTTTCCATGCACACAGTATGTATACATCAATAAAACTCAACTTCGCGCAGCTAGAATCTCCACGAGTCTTGTGCAAGTGGGTTTGAGAGTTTAACTGTGGAAAGAAGGAACTGACTTGAGTCGCGGCGAGATGCATGATGAGCACGCAAAACATAAACAAGCGAAAACTCCATAAAAATATGTATGTCATGCGGGTGCACTCAACCTTGCTGGCGTGTCTTTTGCACCCCAGTATTTCTTGGAGAGTATTTGAACTCCTTGGCCAAGTGTGCAAAATTCTTCATCGATTTCCTGTTATGGTGGACGTCAGCTAGAACCTTCCACTTGGCCAAATTTGAGCCAAAACAATATTTCGGTTTTTCGAGAAATTTACAAATATTATTTCGACATGTATATCGGACATGGTTCAGAACTTTCAAGAATTTTCCAATGCCTCCATCAATTTGTATTAATTTTGGGGGCACGATTTGTACCCTTGCTCATTTTTCAATTTACCAAGGAGCCCAAAAGAGTCTGGGTTCCAAGGCAGTGGGTGCTTGGGGACATGGCGGGTACTTTTAGCCTCCCTCTGCCTAGGCTGGCGTCTCTCCTCGGAGACAGCGCCGCCAAGGATGGCATGGGGATCAAGGCGGGGCACGGATCGTTGACGGTTAAGAGCCATGAGATCCACTGAAGTCCAGCCGTCCCTGTATGTGCTACTTCCGCGGAACGGCCCTTGGTGAATGAGTGATTGCCGTCCCTCCCTTGCCACTCTGAGTAGAGGCATATTGGTGATGTCTATTAGAGTCGCCATGCATGCAGCTGTCCTCCTGCCACTGTGGCCACCTTGTTCTCCATCCATGTTGCTTTGCGGTCAGAGAGTTTCCGAGCCATAGCCCATGTCCACGATGGCTTCACAGGCCACTGCTTCCCACCCCATCGCCGCCTCCATGGTGGCTATATTGTCCACAGCCCTACACTCAACAAGCGCCACAAACAAGCGCCACGATGGTGGCTTCAAAGGCCACTGCCCCATAATCCACAAGCGCCACCATGGTGGCCTGAATTGCTACTACTTCCCACTCCACAAGCGCCAACATTGTAACCGATTGAAATTGGACGACTGCTTTACCGCTTCGAAAGGTATGATTTGATGAATCTTGCATTACTTGGCTTCTCGCTTTGATTGCATTTCTTCTACAAGCTTTTCCTTTTCTTGAAAGAGAAGCTGTGGGATTCTTCTATGGCTCTTGTACTTTTTGTGCGCGAACTTTGTCAGCTCATAGTCGTATCCCAAGCTGTAGGCATCAACGAAGTGGGCACAACGGCGAAAGAATTTTCGAATTGAGGCGAGAGGTACAGATTCCAGACTCAATGGCACACAATTGGATAACCCGTCGAATGAATAGTCACAATGACTCCGTGCATGGCGCTTTGCAGCCCCCCAGTATGATTCAATTGGGTTCAATTCGCAATGGTACTTTGGCAAAAACGCACAAATGTGTCCAGCTTGAATGATTGTTTCTTCCAGTAGGGACATTTGAATACGAAAGTCCTCCTGTGATGCCATGCAGTGGCGCGCACAGCACAAGAGCACGTCTCCGCGATTTGTGCCGACGTTTGGTTGCTTACAGGTAAGTGGCATTTTTAACTCTTTGATATCATAACCCCGCTCCAGAAGAACTTGCTGCAATCCCTTAGCCTGACCACTGAGTGGATGGTCGTGATCAAACACCATGCTTTGAGGTGTGCCGTCGGACAACTTTCCTTGTCGAAGACGAGCCTGTGCTCCACCAGGTTTCAGGTTCATTTTTGAGGCACGCAAAGCGTCAGATGCAAAGGCTGCATGGTTCGTCGACTGATCAAAGGTGAAGAATGCCTGCGCACCAGGATGTAAGTCTTTGAAGGCAGATAAGACATCTTCTTTGACTTGGTTGATCATGTGCTCACATGTCCAATAGCCTTCGTTACTCTTTCCGACGTGCAGAGTTTTTGTCGTGTAAGTCTTGATGCCATCCACCATTTTGTACAAACGACCATGGCAAGGACACAGAAATTCTGACACCATTATAGAACGCCCCCGGCCTTTTTTGTGAAGGTCATGATTGTCGATTTGAGACCATCCTTTGCCACCGTCGTCGTTTGCATAAAAAACTGACTCGTCGTGAGTGACCCAGACAATTTCTGCTTGACCCATTGTTGTTGGAAGGTCGACTTTCATCATATCCTCGCCTGAAAAAAACCTCATCCTGTCCGTGAGACCAAGGAACAGGGTGCAAAATTGCTTTCGGTAAGTCTTCACGTCTTCACGCTCATGCCCATCAGTGTAAATATTCTTCTTCCACAGGCCATATCGAAAGCCAATATGCTTCATCCAACGTCTCGCTGTACTTTCTGACACGTCTGCCTCAACTGCTCCAGTGAGGAAGGGTATGACGTCGATATTCAAGTGCCGTCTGAAAGCTTGAGGTGATCTTTGGTTAGGAGGTTGAGATCGAAGCCACTCTCCGCACTTCGCCATACAATCTTCGTCATGCATAAGAGACGTCGTCTTCTGATGCTTGCCTCGCTTGAACACCGGTAAGTCTCCAGTGAGTTCAAAATGACGCGACCAAAACTGAATTGTACGAGCATGACGGTTCAACTTCGTAGGCATTAGCATTGAAGCAGCAGTTGCTGCGCTTCGTCGGCATTCCCCATTCGAGCGCAGTTCAAAGAACTTCATCAGAACAGAAATTTGAACATATAATGATCCCGATAGAACCTTCGTCTTGTCATAGAGTAGACTCAATTTGTTCACACATTCGCTTGCAGACAAAGCTCTTTGGACTTCTTTCTGTGGCGTACTTTCTCCTTGGGGTAAGGTTGGCAAAAAGAAGGTCGATATGGGCTTCATGGGACAAGCAATAAGAGACCGATTATGCTCAGTACGAGTGCGGCGTTTTGTGCGCTCACTCTCTCCTGTGTAGACGACAGGGCGCTTTTTTGGGGCAACGTGCTGGTCTGGCAAATTTGATTCACACCATTCATGGAAGTACATCAAGGGATCTTCTTCGTCCATCCCGTTAGAGTCGTTTGAAATGACGGCTTGGTCCCCCTGGACAAAAGCACCACGAACCCGTGGTTGCGCTCGAGCATTATTGGAACGCCGAGATCGACGCCCCATGTTTTGTGTGGGGGGGGTTACAGGTGTGGTGTGATCTGTCCGGATAAATCTGTATTTACAGCCGGATAACTTTGCATACAAATTCCAAGTCTAATTAATCTTTCACCCCTGTGGCCAAATATTGGCTCCCCAGCTAATATTTCCAAACTATCAATCCCTATTTCTTAATCAATTTGTCTCCAAATTTTTATCGGAGACGTAGAATGTCTTCGTCTCTGTGAGATCTATCGATTCCACGTCTCAATTCATTGAACTTTTGAGATTTCAAAGTGAAATAGTAGATAGAAAATAGTGTGAAAAGTTGGAAGTTTATAGATGACGTCCACCATAGCACAACTGAAGCTGTACAAATGGCACTTCAAGGAAATTGAAAAAAAAGCAAAACGACATTGAACAACGAGATGCAATTTGATTGGTCAGTTTGTCAAAATGCTTGATTTAATTGGTTGAAAAGCCGTGAAAAGTTAACAGAACGACGATTTGATTGGTGCATTTTGATATAGGCCACATGATTGGACGAAAATCATGTAACGTGATTGGCTACTGCAAATTGAGTTTACCAAGTGGCGGCAAAATCCTTAGAAATCGCCGAGAGGGCTGCACCGATGGACATCGGATACGAGGCACCCAAGAATGACTTTATGATCATGGGGTACACAGTGGAGTTCCCTCATGGGAAGAAGCCGTTTGCAGCGCAGTTCGCCGTGATGAACAAGGTGCTTCTGGCACTGAAGAGAGAGCAGAACGCCCTATTAGAGAGTCCGACCGGGTCAGGCAAGACACTGGCCCTGCTGTGCTCGTCGCTGGCTTGGCATCGACATCATGCTGCGGAAATTAGTGAACGCAACCGAACGAACGTGGATGCATATGTCGCCTCCAAGCTGCTGGAATCGCAGGCAAAACATGCCCGTGATGTGGAAAACGCCAGAGCTGTCAAGGGACACCGTTTGAATGCTTTCACTCAAGCGGAAGATGCTATACGACAAAGAGAAACACAAGCTCCCCTACGAGCACCGAAACTGGACGCATTGGACCATACGCAACTCGTCGAAGCGATGGATCGATTGAACAGTGAGTTGGCTCCGCCACATCAATGGAACACTGTCGAACGATGTCAAAAGGAGTATGAACTCGCATGCATGATTCTGCGAGTTCACATGCTCGACGGTGGGAACGCCAACAGCGTCACGCTTGAGTTTGAAGACCGCCCGTCCAAAACTTTCGTTCTCGACGTGGCCACGGGCCGTGTTCAGCCTCTTGTGGATCCGAATGAGGAGCCTGCGCAGATGCAGACTGCGAGTCCAATAGACACCACGCAATTTAAAACAGACGACGACGACGACGATTTGGTGCACATCTCGTTCTCACAACTACAGAAACAGCAACAGCGCCCCAAACCTCCACTATCATCCAAATATGGTGCCCGCTTTCCTCCTGAATCCCCAGAGCCCGAACACAAACGTCCTGTCTCTATCCAGAAGCCTGATTTAGTCACGAATCGGTTCGATCAATTTGCTGCGCCATCTTCAGCCGTGTCGCCCGACGTACCGGGAATCGCACCATCGTCGCTAGCGCAGTCGATCGATGCTGTGAAGAAGGAAAAATTGCCTCAAATCTACTTTTGTTCGCGAACGCACTCGCAGCTTGCCCAGGTACGAAGTCAGCCCTTGCAAATTGACTTTTTATAGTCGGGTAGGTAATTCAAGAACTGAAGAAATGTCCATTTGCCAACCGGGTCAAAATGACGTTGTTGGGATCGAAGAAGCATTACTGCGTCCATCCCCGTGTGCGCAAGCTTGACCCAGGAAATCTTGCGGACGAATGCGCTGACTTGTTGGATGGCATGAATTGCAGATATCACACCAAGGTACAACGTAAAAACCACTGAGTTTTCAATAGGCATGGGTTACACAAATTGAAACAGTGCTTCGAATGCGTTCTTGTTATTTCAGATTTGCTTTTCCCCCATCGCTGGCATGAAGCGACCTTTTCGCAATATTTGTGCATTTTGATTCTTAAATGCTTGCACCGCTCAGGGAAAACAACGCAATGAGACTCGACTGCATGCACCGCCGGTTTGGGACATCGAAGATATGGTAACGTTGGGGGATGAACTGAAGGAGTGCCCATACTTTTTTGCTCGATCGCAAGGAGAAACGGCAGAAATCGGTATGTCCTAGTACATTTGATAGAAGTCTCTTGCTTGGATCATGTCAAGGTGTAGCTGTTGGCTCAATTTGAAATTCTTCCAACGCAATTCGTAGTGTTTTGTCCGTACAATTACATCATCGATCCGCAAATCCGATCGTCGTGTTCGATTGACTTGAAGAATGCAGTCGTCATATTTGACGAAGCGCACAATATTGAGGACGTGTGTCGCGACGCAGCATCGCTGGAGTTGCATTACCCCAGTCTCGAAGAAAGCGCGATCATCTTGACCACAGCCATTCAAAACCCCAAAGTTAGCGAGTCCAAGAAAGACGACGTCAAGACCCTGATGAAACTCATTAACGGATGGAAGCGCTGGCTGACACACATCAAGCCCACCCTGAAACCCATGGGGTAGGTTATCTTGTGCTCAATGCATCAGTTGATTGTGTTCGAGATTTTGACATGACCATAATCGTTGTTATGAAAACGTGACTCAAATATTCTCTCGACAGTACAGAGTAATTTTTTTTGCATCATTCTTTTGATCGTTCAAGGCTATTTCCTGTCTTTGGGACGAAGTGATGCCAACACTTGTGCTCAAATGATCGAATCCCAATCCTTAGAGCTTGAATTTTTGTGGTGTCAAAATACATTGTTTTCTTGAGTTTCTCCGGATGGTTACATTCATTGGTGTACGATTCCAGGTTTCATATCCCACCTTTTATTCCTCAGAATGACCTCTTATCGATTGAAACCAGGTTCGAGTACGAAACACGGCAATTCAGCGGTCCCGATGCTGCGGCAATTTTAGGTGAATACTGCGGACTTACACCACAGTCACTCGATTATTTCAAAATGGCGATGGAGGCTGGTACGGACTGACTGTATTTGTGCCAATGGAACAATTGTTTCGTTGTACAATTACATGACCACGTCTGAATATTTTTTTTGCAGTCATGATGGAAGAAAATGCCTCAAGCGCAGAGCTTGGCGACGAGCCGTCAACCAAGCGTACGTAAGCATGGAGTGCTGTCGATAGTCGATTCATTTGGATAAAAAATTATGTCTTCGCACACGTAGTCAAACTCGGCATGGCAACAATCATGGGGCTATCGAGCATTTTGAACGTGGCTGACTACTTATTTCGAGACTCGATGAAATATGTCCACGATTTCAAACTGGCTGCTGTACGTCAACGAGGGTTTGGTCGGCGATCCAACGAATGGGAATACAAGGCGTGTGTATGGTGCTTATATGCGGGGGTTGCGTTTAGCGATATAACCACTCAAGTACGTAAAGTCTGCATCGGTCGCTAGTTTTTCAGATTCTAAAGAGAATTTTAGACTCGCAGTGTCATTTTAACATCGGGAACTCTCAGCCCGATGACTTCGTTTGCTGGTGAACTGGGCACTACGTTTCCGATCACTCTTGAAGCAAATCATGTGGTGAACATGCAAAAGCAAGTTTGGCTGGGCACGGTAAACTATGTGTTTGGAGATAAACTCGTCTCATGGCCACTATATATCGTAGCTTGTACAAGGACCACCCAAACATCGTGATTTCAGTGCGACGTATGCAAACCAACAGGATCTGACGTATCAAGATGCATTGGGGGATATTGTTCTCAAGTACGGTGGGACAAGTTTTCTTTTCGATGAATTCCGAATGGAGTCAAGAAGTTCGACGTATTGTGGACATGAGTTGCTTGTGATATTGTCAAATCTCACGCATACAACTCGAAACCCGTCTTATGTGATGTTATGACAACTCACCATTGCACTCCGCGCAGTCGGGCCGTTCGTCCATCGGCACGACCGAAATCCACCACGATGTAACATTGTTCTCTTTGTAGCTTGTGCCGAATTGTGCCCGGTGGAATCTTGGTGTTTTTGCCATCCTATCGCTTCATGCAGCTACTGTACGATCGGTGGATGGTGACTGGCGCCATGGCGAAGATGGAAGAAAAGAAGAAGTCATTCGTCGAGCCTCGTGGCGCTGGAAAAGATTTTGACGCGTTACTTGACGATTTTAAAGCTGCCGTCGAAGGAAGCCGCCAGCCTGACGCTACGTACGGGATTCTCTTTGTGGAGGCCACATTCATATAAATGGCATGACTATTCTGGATTTAGAAAAACCGGCGCTCTGTTTTTTGCTGTCTTTCGAGGCAAAGTCAGCGAAGGCATTGACTTTTCCAATGACAATGCACGCGCGGTCGTCGCCGTCGGGATCCCCTTTCCTAACATCAAGGAGCAACAAATCGCTCTGAAGCAGGTATGAAGCTGCACCATATTGGTTTCCGAGGGTGTATATTTTCTGGAAGGTCAAAGGTTTTGTTTATAATATGCTGTGTGCAAGGCAGCTTGGAGATTTCATGTATGCATCTTGATTGTATCAAGCAAGCATATGGCTGAATTAATTTCGTGCCCCGTTTACAGATTTGTTGTCTGTGACCATAAATGCAGTTACCATGAAGATGCCAATTGAGTTTTGGTTCTGTTTTGTCTCTATGTGAGTTTGATTCTAAAGTTTTCATGCAGCAATATCAAAACGACCGATCTCAACATGATAAAACTTGTGCCCCTGGAAGAGTATGGTACGAACACCAGGCATTTCGTGCACTGAATCAAGCCCTTGGTCGATGCATTCGCCACCGCTTGGACTACGGCGCCATTTTCCTCGTTGATTCTCGTTATCGGTACAGATGGACATCTACTTCGATTTGCCAAGTGGAATTTGTTTTATATTTTGCGTTGTAACTTTAGGAACGAGCGATACACATACCAATTGTCCAAATGGACAAGAGGCCACTGTCAAGAATACGAAGTTGCCGAGGAAGCGTTGGAACACGTGGCCGATTTCTTTGGTCGTGTGGGATCCGATCCCGAGTTACAAAGCCATGTTCAAGCCGCCTTGATAACAGCGCCTGTCGAAACCGCGAGGAAGATTCCCAAGGTTTCAAAACCCACGAATGCATGGAAGCCCAAGAAGCCAAAAACCATGACATCATTCTTTCCCTACGCCAATTGAATATAGACGATTTCCAAGTATGGGGAATTGGCTCAATTAGCTATTGAGCATCCCTTGTCGACTTGCCAACTGGATCAAGAAAATTTGAAATTATGGGAGCGTGTGGAAATTTGACAGAATATGAATCAAGGACATCGAATGGTGAGAAAGTCGTCCTTTGCGTGTTCCGATGCAATATTGTTGCATGAAAGCAGTACCCAGGCCTCCAGCCTCGTACTTTCACATACTCTGCGTCCACTACAGATCATTAGGATATTATTTGAGTAATTGAACACGACGTAGCTGCTTGACAAACAGAAAGCCCGCTAAAACGTGACCGCTGTCTTGGTTGGCTGGTGGCAAATTTTAGACCAGAATTACAAGGTATGGATGCAGTGGCATTGCACTTTGGAATCTAGGCCGCATCGCATTGCTTTCTCCTCCTGAATATGTGAAGCTCGGTGAAGGTCATCACGCATCACGACTCTTTCGAGCAACGGGGTATTGTGAGTGAATTGTTATGGTGAAGAGCGAGAATTGGGCTATTTCAACTTCAAAAGTTCTTCCTGAGGTGGCCTGTCAAACATATTCGACATGAAAATTATCTAGATCTCTAAAAAAATTCCAAAGGAAGGCTTGTTAAATAATGATACAGGAGGCGATGACACTTATTGTTTGGTAAGGCACCCGACAAATTCGAATGCTTGGTGGTCATACGATAATCAAGATAAATGCTGACGTTAGTTTGATACAACTCCACAATGCGATGCACGGCAATGGCAGAATGCCCCCGCTCGTCAAGGGGCACACGCATTCTTACTTTCCAAATATCCCAATGGGTAACAGACCCAAATCGCATCGATTATCCGGCCAATATAGCCCGAAATAGCACAAGAATATTTGACGTCCACCTTTTCCCAGCCGTTCAAGTTTGAGAAAAATGTAAAAAAGAAAAATGTCATTTTCGATCAAAGTTGGATATGCACAAGTTCTTTATTCGCATTTTCGTGATGTGGACCCAAAATTCGATTTTATCCGGATAAAGACGTTTTATCCGGTAACAAGTCCACCAATCGACGGGATCACTTGGAGTTGGTGCGATGTTGGCGCGGGTGCTTCGGCGGTGTATCTCGATCAAGAGCTCCCGGTTGACGCCAGAAGAGATTGTGGCCAAGACAAAACGGCCCTTGAAGCCAACTAGCGCGCTGTCGCTGCCTCTTTCAAAGGTGTGTGGTTCTAATCGACCACCCTCCTCATTGTCGAAGCAGACAACAAAAGGTCGGAAAGGACCAGCGGCCGTCCACATGAAGGCCAGCGTCGATGACCTTGTCGACACCACGTCGGCTCCCATGCGTTTGGCCAAGCGAATGGCGATGGCTGGTATTAGCTCCCGCCGTGAAGCCGAGAAAATTATCTTGGACGGCCGCGTTGTCGTCAACGGCAGCAGGGTACAATTGTCGCGTCCGTTTCGTGCTGGCGTTCACTTCGCCCACACTAGGTGACGCAAGTTGCCCATAACGTAACCTTTGACGACGTTGTGACTGTCGACAATAAGACGTTACCTGCCCGCCCGTCCAAGCGCCGCGTTTGGATTGCCCACAAGTTACCTGGGGTAAGGAATTATTTCTGTGGTGTCCATCACCACATGCGATCGTAACATTTCGCGATGGGTCGCCATTGCAGGAATTGGTCACGTCCAGCGACCCCCGCGGTCGTCCGACCATCATGCAGCGCCTCAAGGCCATGGGTTTCGACACGCACGTGATGGCCGTGGTACGTTGCAAAATACTCTTCTTCCACATATGATCTCTTCGTAGGGCCGTCTCGACTACAACACAGAAGGTCTGCTGCTCCTTACGAATGATGGCGACTATGCCAGGTTCCTCGAACACCCCAAGCACTCAGTCCAACGAGTGTATCGCGTGCTCGTGTGGGGACAGGTGGGTGCTTCCATGGAATCCATTGTAGCTCGAGCCCGATATTTATGTCGATGTTTCAGGTCTTGCCTTCAAAGCTGGACGAACTTCGACGTGGCGCGTTGGTTGACGGCGTCAAGTACCGCCCGATGGAGGTGAAGATCGAGTCCACGACAAAAGACAAGGAAACTTGGCTCCAGGTCAAGCTCACCGAAGGAAAAGTACGTGACAAACTGGTGAAATTGCGTTTGACGGCAATTCTTGTGGCGCTGTAGAACCGAGAGATTCGAAAAGCGATGGCTCATGTGCGCCTTGTGCTCAAGCGCCTCATCCGCGTTGAATACGGCCCGTATCGCCTCGCCGACCTCGACAAAGGCAACGTCCTGGAAGTGCAACCAAAGTCTGTCGTCGAGTAGTGTATACAGGCGCGACACTACGTTGAATCTACAATTTTCGTTCCAGTGGAATTCCCGCATCATGCGTCCGATGCTGCAAGACTGCTGATCATTTTACGCATTCGTTGGCTCCCACGCATCCGGGCGTTTTGCGTCGCGGCCCTCATGGGGAAGTGGATATGTCTTGCCAAGGATAAGAGGCGGAAATGTTTGATCGGCTATGGTTTTGACCAGTCGCCCCGTGTTGACAACTCAATTTGTGCGCGAGATCGGGAGACAACGTGTCGACCGAGACGGCCCAGACGAGTCAGGATGGTTTAAGTGGAGTTGAATTGACTTTGGCAACGTGACATGGTGGAGACGATCCGCCGTTGATGGAACTCTGTGACTTTGTGCGATATGGCTCGCTGTTTTCTTTACGCTCGCGAAGGCTGCGACAGCCACCGTGAGACCCCACTGTTGTAAATTACTTTTATAACATATTTTAGCACCAATCCGCGTGGCTTTTGCTGCTGGATGGTGTCATGGCGATGCACCCACCGGCGGCCACGTTGGCCATGACAAAATTGGCACTGCTTTGCCCCGCTCGTTCTGGTGGACACGCCAGTAAAAAGACTGCTGGGCGTCCCGTCGCCCGCTACAACACTTGCCAGCCAACACAACGCCATGGGATAGCATGAACCCGGTTGAACAATCGCAGAATCACACAAGAAGCACATGAAGCAATAAGTTAAGTCGCATAAGTGGAACTGCAAACGGAGAGCTGTGGCTGGCATCGGATCGAAGGAGAGGTGGGTGAGCTACTACGAGAGCACCAATCGAACGACGTCGGCATCGACGTCGATCCTGTCATCGTCGCTGTCGTCTTCGCCATGTTCGTCTTCCAGAATGGCTTGCATTCGATGGACTCGCTCCATGCGAAGCCTCCGGTCGTCGCGCAGCACTTGCGCGTACGACTTCATGCGGTCGGTGAATCGCTTGCGGCGCATCACCTTGTCGACTCGCGTGACAAAGTACACGTATACGCTCATGAGGCCGGCGCCAAGAAGCACGTAAACCACTGCTTCCACATGCATTGAAGCCTCCATCAAGTCAACGGCCGACGAATGCACCACTAACGCCTTCGTGCCGACGTCCATCATGCCACGCGGTCGTGTGCTTGGTGAATGCAACAATGGAAACGACTCTGGATGTAACATCCAGACCCGAAAGAAGTGGGAAAAACACGGGAAAAACACATTCTCCACCGCCAGTCGGACAATGCGACATGTTTCAGATTTTTAAATAATATTTTTTTGATTTTTTAGTTCCAAAACATTAAAAATATATTTAAAAAATGATTTTAACCAACCATAATTAACATCTCGCATTCGTACTTCGTGAAAGGTCGAGGCATTGTTGTATGCCTCGTCAGGAAGCGGCACGACCTGCCGCCGCTTTTCCCGACGAGAGGAATAGATTGCACGTTCAGCGACACGCACGATTGGGACTCCCTCCTCAAGGCACCGCCTGCGGTTGCAAATCGTTTTATTCAGGCTCATACAAAACAAACGTATGCCCGAACAGTTGGCACATGCTATTTGTCGACAAATGTGGAATTCCATACAATTTTCCAGTAACGTTAGTATATAGAACATCCTAAGTACGTGTCCAATGCGTGTCGTATGCCCAAACGAGCAGGGTTTTCAACGATATTTGCTTGGGACGCTCCATTTCCCCCAAGCACGAGTTCGATACCTCCTTGCGTTGTACGATGTCTGGCTTTCCTCTATTGTCGCAAGCCATGATCCAGGATACATTTGACAGAGTCCCGTGGATCTTCTCTTCGATGTACGACTCCACTCCACATACAAAAGAGCGGTCGGACATGCCCAAAATGGGTAAAACACGATTTTCAATCGAATGTCCACGAGATGAAGTAGGAAATACACGCAACCAGGTGGGATATACACGCCCTCGCACCGAATAACTCCCTCGGGCAAGTTGTTGACACAAGAGCGTTCTGGGTGGCACGAACATTGCCGAGTTTGACGATGTGCCTCATCGACTTGTGGAGATGCCACAAGGCGCAACCCCATCGCATCCACCCGAAGTCAGTGTGTGAACGAGTGGCTGGCTGGATCAAAAGTGCTTCTGTCGACCCGGTGGAGCCTATCAAAATCGAAAGCTTCGAGATCTTGAAAGGTCACAATCGGTCAAACTTGTGACCATGGGATGTGGACGAATCGCACAAACTACGACGCAAAGGACATCGGGGTGCCACGTGTAAACGATCGAGTCGCGGTGGCGCGAAGGCCCAACGAGCGTCGTGACGCAAGACGATCCGTTAAACGAGACAGGTCGTTGCTCGCTGGAATGCACGGGGCGTTAACTCGATTTTGACACAAACAGTCACCCGCAGCGCGATCCAGAGACTTGCAATGACCGAGATGACGGCGTTTCAACTGGTGGTTGCCGTGCTGTTTCTAGGGACGATGTCTATAATGAGGCTACCCAACCTTTAGAGACAAGTGCGAGGTGGCTTTTGCCGACGTGCGGAGAAGCCTGTGCATGGACAGGTTGGCAGTGGCGTGTCGGTGCAAGATTTTAGAGTTCTGAGAGTTGCCCATATCGATGGCTCGGAGTGGTTACACGATTCAATTCCCTACGTCCCAGGACCACGATGTTGTCCTTGCCCCCTGCTGACACGTATGCTCTCACTCGCACTTGAGCTCAACTGTAAGGAAATTCCCGCAACGCCATGCACATCCTTGCCTCTGGCATTGTCCCGCTATCTCTCGCGTTTTCAAACAACGTTTTGGGACACCGCCGACGACGTGTTGTCGACGAAATCCGTTTGAGAAAGTCGAACGAGTTGTAGACAAGAGTTGTGTTGAGACTTTTCGTGGTGTGTTCCTGTGCACAAGCCACACTGAGCGCAAGTATTTGTCTAGGAAAACGCGGTGTCCGGAACAAGGCCGAGGGATTCCAAGTCGTTGGCAATCAAGTCGCTCTTGATGCCAAAGTTCGGACACGTCGTTTGCGTGAGACTGCCGTGGTGGAGCGCCACGACGGAGTGGTCGGTGGTGCTTAAGACAGGCGACCCACTCGCCATGGGCCGCGTGTCAAGTAGATAGGACGCTTCCAAACTATTCGTGGACTGGATCGTGGCTTTTCCCCACGCAGTCTTGTCTGTGATGCGCTTGCCCCATGCTTGGGGATGCTGGACAGAGTAGATGGGCTCCCCAACAATCGGCCCCGCCAGTCGGAGCTTCAAGTACGAGTACCTCGCGACTACCGACCGATCGAGCAGCACAATCGTGTAGTCCAGCTTCTCGTTCGTGTACAAGAAAGTGGCAGTGCCGCGCCAGACATCTCCAGGGCAGGCCAACTGCTTGTCGCACACCGTGTCGCCAATTTTGGTCGGGCAAGTCATTGTCTGCGCCATGAATTCAAACCGAGTTTTCGACGCATGGGATTGCGTTGCAATGCAGTGGTTGTTCGTGATGAAGTGGCCTTCGTTGCCGAGGAGAAACCCCGTACAGCCCGTGAGGACACCGTCCTTGTTGATCACGAGGCGCGCGACCGCGCGGGAACGTGCGGTCATGATGGGGGAATGATTGAAACATGCCGCTTCCTGCGTGCGTTCGACGTTGCCGCCGCACACAGCTTCGTGGGTCGGTGGGCTTTGCAATACACTCGTGTACCCTACAACGTGAAACCCCGTGCACGTTGACGGAGACGACGATCCCCCCGCCGGGATCGCTCTTGTGTACAGTTCAAGACGGAGGCGCGACCCATTGATGCTCGGCGCGTCAAACGCGCCGTGGTACTCGGCCCCGGACAGCTTTACCGTGGCCCCCGTCTCAAGGGATCGCAGGAGAACGTAGTCGTTGCGTGGCAAGTTGAATGCACTGAAGCGCACAATGATGAAGGGGTCGCCGCCATTGTCGATCTCGCGCGTGAAGGCCGGCTTGAAACAGCCTCGTTCGCGCTGAAACGGATAACTCGTCGAGTTGTCGCACCCGACGCTAAAGGCAAGCGGAATGACTTGGGCAAACGTAGCGACGGCAACCAACGTTGCCAGCACCACGGCGTGGAAAGGTACTTGCATGGTGCAAGTTGGAAAATGCCTTGGCAGCAAGGGGTGGCGCGACGCGCTGGACGTGGAATGTTACGCCAGGACGTTCATGAGGAGGAGCTAGCCCACCGCACACTGCTCAGATTGCGCAGTGACGTGCTCCATCTCGTCGGCATCGTCCACGCGCTTTCTCCTGCACCCAAAACCTTCCTGCACCCATTGCGTTGTTGACGTTCGAGACGATGGAGTGCAGCCCAAGCCACACCTACTCTCAACCGTCGTGTCGGCTAAAAATATCCCCGGTCGTTTCACTGGGCCTGCGAGCCTTGATGGCCACACGCCATGCAATCTTGCTTTCCAGCGTCAACTCGTGGCGAGTCGAGCGATGCTTCTTCGCGTCATTCGTTTCGCCTGGTTGCTGGCCACAAGTGTGCGCAGTGCACTCGTCCCATTGTCACAAACCCTGGGCTGCCATGCCGCGTCGCCGCTCAGCGTCACGATCGAGTCGACGTCGTACTCGACGCCGTTCATGTCGCTCCGGTTCTCTTCGTTTTACTTGGCCCCGCACGACCACCTTGTCGTTCGCCCGTCCGATCCCGACTCGACAATTCCACCCGTCTACTTTTATCCAAACCAAACGTTCCACAGCACGTATGGGCTCGACGCGCCGCCGATGGCCACCACACGAGTGGTTGCGACCCTTGTCGTCGCTCGTCCAAACTCGTTGGCCACCCAATCTTGCGTCCACATCAGTGGGTACACGGCCGAGCTCGAACGCCCTCAAGCCAGCGAAGCCATCTGTGGCGTTGATCGAACGCAAGAAGCTGCGTGCTACAAGCTGTCGGCGCCATCCATGTTTGCCAAATCCAATGCCGTTGCACGCCTGGTCATCAACAGAGACGGCAACCTGACGGGGTGCACGGGCTGGCTGCTTGGATCGGAAGGACATCTTGTCACCAACAACCATTGCATCGACGAAGCGAGGCAACTCGTCGGCATTCGCATCGAGTTCCTGGCCCAAACCGACAAGTGCCCCCAGAGTTTTCTCGAAAAGAGCTGCATGCGCCAACTCGCGTGTACAGGAGAGCAGTGGCGCGGCTCGACGACGTTTGTGTACACCAACAAAGCGCTCGATTACACGTTGATTCAACTCACTTCGACGACCGGCCCCAACGTGGCGACCAAGTACGGGTTTCTTCGACTGCGCGCGACTGGCCCACAAGTCGGCGAGCCCATTTACATTGTTCAGCACCCTCAGGCATGGGGCAAGCGCATCTCGGATAAAACGGCAACTGGCCGCGCCACCGTGGCCGGGCTCAACCTGTTGGAGGCCGAATATTTCCTCGATACACAAGCAATGTCGAGCGGGTCGCCCGTCGTGGGCGTTGAGGACGACGCCGTTGTGGCGCTCCACCACGCAGCGTACTCGACGTGCCCGAACCTCGGTGTACGAAGTGACGTGATTGTAGCCGACCTGCAGGCGCAGACTTTCGTGCCCCAGAACGGTGTGCTCTGGTCTCGTAACCCTGCCTAGACCATGCCAAACAGTCCATTTTGTTTCATGCATGCTGGCACGTGCATGCGTTGGGTGCTCGACGGACATGGTGTCCACACTGTGAGCTGCGTGCTGCCAAGTGAGCACGGCTAAACTGCTGCGCACACACACCTTGCATGCCACGACATGCCAATCGTTCGATCGTCCCGATGGAATCGCCACGTCGTTCCCAGCACACGGCATTTTGTCGAGGCGAAGCCTTCCATGACCAAATGATATACGACTGGACACAAAATTGAAAACGTGCTCGACGTGCACGGTGCTGGTGCTGTAACAACGCTCGACACCAGCAGCATCTTCATTTGGCCATGCAAATGAAATGGCGGGTCCGGTGGACCGTGCATGCAACCAAACGCAACAGCGTCAGCGACGCCATGGATGTGGTGCTGCGCCGCTCCATCATGCTCGTGGCCATCGTGTCGTCGCAGGGATGGCGCTGCGTCGCCGACATCTAAACCGATCCACTTGACAAAAAGTAACGTCACAGTGACCTTTGGGGCAAGGAGGACGAGGAGTTACGTACGTGGCTAGTGCCAACATGGAGCCGACGTTGCGGAAGAAATCGAGCGTCAAAAACATGTCGCGGCACACCCACGCGAGTGTATTGGAGCCCCTCGACACGCTGCAGCAGTACGAGGGTACGATGCACACTCGAGCACGACGGCGAGTTGAACGAGGGGGGGTCCGTAGAGCTGTTGGAGACAGCCCATGCGCACTACAATCAGGGCAAGTACAACGACGGCATTGCGATTTGCGACAAGCTGTACGACGTCGATGCGTCTCGCACGGACAATCTGCTGCTGCTCGGGGCACTGCATTTTCAGCTGCGCAATTTCTCGGAGGCGATTTTTTACAACCAACAGTGCATTCGCATCGAGCCGCAGTTTGCCGAAGCGTTTGGCAATCTCGGTGCGTTCATGGCGAGATGTGTGTTTGTGAACGCGATCGATCCAACGCTTGTGTGGTTGGCGAAAGGGAACGCTTTGAAGGAAATTGGGGACACCCATGGCGCGATCCAGTTTTACTTGCGAGCGATTAAACTCAACCCTCGCTTTGCTGACGTGTACAACAACTTGGCCAGCAGCTACATGCAAATGCACGCCACGCATGAAGCGATCGAGACGTACAAAATGGCGTTGGTGCTGGGTGAGTGACCCTGTTCCATACGTCGTCGTACATCGTCATCCCGTTCAGCAAACCACGATGGCGCACATGAATTGACACTATGCTCCTTCGTTCGAATGGTGGTGGCGCACTTTGCACAGCTTTTTTCGTTCGTGTGTGAATGGATTGTTCGCATACTCGTAGATCCATGTTTGGTGGATGCCCATTCGAATTTGGGCAACTTGTACAAAGCGCAAGGGTTGTTTGAAGATGCCACGACATGCTATGCCAACGCGATTCGGGTCAAGCCAACCTTTGCCATCGCGTGGAGCAACCTGGCGGGTCTCCTCAAGGACGACGGTCAGCTGGACAAGGCCATCGAGCATTACAGGGAAGCGATTCGACTGGCGCCGGACTTTGCCGACGCGCACAGCAACTTGGGCAATGCGCTGAAGGAATCTGGACAAACGAATGCTGCCATTGAATCGTACAAGACTGCGATAGCACTGCGACCAGAGTTTGCCATTGCCCATGGTACGAGGCGGCGAGAGAGTGGTGGGCGCTTCAACTTTGTTTCGTCTGGCTGCAGGCAACTTGGCGAGTAGTTATTTTGATGCGCATCAAGTCGAACTTGCGATTGCCACGTACCGCATCGCGATCCAGCTCGAGCCCAATTTCCCCGATGCCCACAACAACTTGGGCAATGCGCTGCGGGATATCGGCCAGCTCGAACAAGCGGTACGTTTCGACGCATGTCGTCGGCGATGGTTTTTGTTTTGCATGTACGAGCGAGCATCGACCGTGTGTTTTCACACGAATACTTGTTTTGATGCGGGTTGTGCCATGCGCGGACGAATGTTTAGATCAGCTGCTACCGCACAGCGCTACGCCTCAAACCAGACCACCCCCACGCATACAACAATCTGGGCAACGCCCTCAAAGACAAAGGCATGATCAAGGAAGCTATTCATTGCTACATGACGGCGGCGCGGCTGATGCCTCGATTTGCGGCAGCCCACAGCAACTTGGGCAGGTGAGCCTCCCCCCTGGACTCCATTCCATCCCGTGTTGCATGCGATTCGATTGAAAATGGGTTGGCGGCAGCATGAAATCTCATCTTGTACAGCGTCTTGAAAGAACAAGGCAAAATTGAGCAGGCCCTTGCGCACTACCAAGAAGCCGTCGCGATCGATCCGTCGTTTGCAGATGCGTTCAGCAACATGGGAAATGCGTACAAGGGTGCGTCTCCGTCGAACGTGCACGGCGATGCCAATTGCATTGTCTTTTTTTGTCGGAACAATGGCGCGTTGACCGCATCGTGTTGCAGATCTGCTTCGACTGGACGACGCCATTGCTTGCTACAGCACGGCGATTCGTCTCAAGCCGACGTTTGCCGATACGTATAGCAACCTGGCGAGTGCGTATAAAGATGGCGGTCGCATGGAGGAAGCGCTCACATGTTTTCGCAAAGTAAAAACTCCCACAGACTGCCACGAAAACAAAACCTGAACGAACTCGACTGTTGTGGCGCTTGCAGGCGCTGAGCCTACGGCCCGATTTTCCCGAAGCATTTTGCAACTACGTCCATTCCCTGGCTGTCGTATGCGACTGGCGGACTCGCAGCCAGGTAGGGATATATATATCCAACATTTAAATCGTCGACTGCCCGATGCCCCGTTCGATGGCCCCATGTTGTCGTCAATAATCTCTTACCGATGTACAGGACATGAAGAAATTGATGGCGATGCTCGATCGACAACTGGGCACCGATTCGACTCTGCCGACCGTCCAGCCGTTCCATGCCATCATTTACCCGCTTCCTGCTGCTCCATTGCTCGAAATTTCCAAACGGTACACACCACGTGCTCCATGTTTTTCCGAATCAAGCATTGCCACGACGTGATGGCTACGCGCAAGGACAAATCGGATGACATCGACAAACGCACGTAGATATGCCCAGCGGGCTCGACTGAATTCGTCGCTCGTGGATCTCGGCACGCTGCGCTATCGTGCCAAGCGGTCCGACGAGCGCTTGCGCGTTGGGTACGAGCACTTTGATACCTTGTTGATACGAATTTCGGCGTATTGGTGTATGTCCCTTGCCTCTCTCATGCCGAGGGTGGTAGTTACGTGAGTTCGAATTTTGGAAACCATCCGCTGTCCCACCTCATGCAGAGCGTATTTGGTCTCCATGATTCAAACCGGGTTGAAATCACATGCTACGCCACGTCTCCGTCAGATCAGTCGCAGTGGCGCCGAAAAATCGAGTTGGAAGCTGAACATTTCAAAGATTTGAGTGCCATGAGTACCGGCGACGCGGCACGATTGATTCACAACGACGGGATTCATATCCTGGTCGACTTGAACGGCTACACCAAGGGTACGCTTGCGACCGCTCTTGGTGTCGACATGTCTCTAAACATCAGTAGGAGCTCGCACCGAAATTTTCGCGCTGCGACCGGCCCCGATTCAAGTGTCGCTGATGGGGTTCCACGGATCGATGGGAGCAGACTACATCCAGTACATCGTCGCAGATAAAATCGTGCTGCCACTGGACCATGCGGCCGTGGGCTACACGGAAAAAGTGCTGTATATGCCCCACACGTTCTTTGTGAACGACCACAAGCAGAGCGCTCGGGCCGTGCTCGATGTCGACACTTGCCCCAGTCGCAGTCAATATGGCCTTCCCGAAGACAAGTTTGTCTTTTGCAACTTTAGTCAGCTCTACAAACTGGACCCGACCATGTTTGCCACGTGGATGCATATTCTGAAGCGCGTGCCCAACTCGGTCCTGTGGCTCGTGCGATACCACCACAACGGTACGCTGACGTGAGCGACATTCGATTTGCTGCCACATGGCTCCGTGTGGAATTTAGAGCTCGAATGAGTGGCGAAATTTTGCTTGGATTCCATGACGCAACCTCCTCGCTCCTTCATGCTCTCTATGAACAGAATTGGCTGAAACAAACCTGAAAGCCGAAGCGAAAGCCCATGGGATTCGAGACTCTCGTCTCCACTTCACCGACGTGGCGCCGAAAGACGAACACTTGAAACGAGGGCAAGTTGTGCATTCGTCGTCCATCTTGGAAATGCTTGGTGCGCTAACCCTGCCATGGAAGGTACTTGGCCGATCTTTTCCTGGACACAGCTACGAGCAATGGCCACACAATTGGCTGTGACATCTTGTGGAGTGGTAAGTATGTTTTGTCGGGTTGCAACCTGCTCGATTTACGTGCGTCACCAGGGACACCCATGATAACGAAAACAGGCCACCACATGGCGTCGCGCGTCGCGTCGAGTTTGTTGCTGGCCGCCGACTTGCCCGAGCTCATCGCAGACTCGTTGGAAGAGTACGTGCGGAATCGTTTTTTTCTCTCTCTCTGGACACACACGATGATTCCGTGTGGTTGTGTGTCGGATGCCAGTCCACCGGTGTGTTTGCATTTGTAGGTATGAAGAACTGGCCGTCGCGCTGGCGTTGGACATGGATAAATTGTGGGAATTGCGCAAAAAGCTCGAATCGACACGCACAACATGCCCATTGTTCGACACGATGCGATGGGTACGATCGAGTTTTGAGTTCTTGCTTCGTCCATGCGCCGACAATATCTCGGTCTAGGTGCGGAACTGGGAATCCGCCGTCCTATTGGCGTGGGATGCGCATATCGCTGACGTGCCACTCGATCACATCGACGTCCCAGATATCGAAGACCTTGTCGTGTCGTGATGGAGCTTGAAACGTATTCCTACGGTGAAGAGCCAAGTACAACCTGCAAACACCCTCAGAACATACAAATGAAACACGGACCGAATGCAATTGTCGAGATTTTCGACCCTGCGTGCACAAAAACGGGCTTGAGATCCTTGTCCGAGGGAGAACCGCTTTTTGTAGCGCCACTGGAACGCGTGTTGAGTTTCATGATGCCAGCGCCGTGCTGGAGAACCATCGCGATAATGTCCAGGCAATGAAGCTTCGCCGAGTGCATCCAATCTACTCCACATTCCTCGTGAAGTGGCGATTCAATCGCCCTGGCACGAAATACCGTCGCAGAAACAATGACACTATTCTCGACGTGCATCCCGACAACGACGCCGACGTTTGCTTTGCTTGGATGCCACATCGAGTGGGGCGTGTTCCGAACTGGATGACTCCGCCACGCGATCCTGTGCCTCCCGCATACCCCGTCTTTCGAGTGGGCATTCGCCCTTTGCCACAGCAACTCTTGAACGCCCTCGACGCTTCCCCGCTGCACTCGACCGCTTCTCATCGTTCGTGCCTTCCTACAATCGATGGACAACTCATAACGTGCAGGGCAATGCCCAAGTGCATGTGGTGTATGGAAAACTTGTCGACTGCCGCGCTTTCATCCAAACGGCATCCAATTTTTGTGCGTCCTGAAATTAGGGCGCCCTGTCCTTGCCACCCCCAAATAGCCCCAAATTCGGCACATACCGTCACATAGTCTATTGTGTATTTTGAACGCTTCGACAAATTGACGACCTGTGAGATTTCTCCAAGGGGTATTTCTCAAGACCATCCCACCAGTGGAAATATTCCTCACGATCGTCAAAGTGGACCGTTCATGAGGTACTGATCTCCCCCCCTAAACGAAACGGGTCAAAGTGAATATAACTTGAAATATTATAATATTATATTTCGAAGTACGTTTGAAATTCAAATGGTTGTGCTGTGTATTTCAATAGTTTATACCTCCAATGTTTTATACTCCCTCTGTTCCAAAATTGTTGTCCGAGTTTTGGGAGGGTTGACATGACTTCGAATAAAATACAGAGGTAATTTTCAAAGTCGGATGT